AATATATTTAATATCACATATCTCTCGTAAATTTAAAATTTTAATTATTTTAACAATATATCAAATTATATAAAAAAATAAAACAAAAAAATTATACAACAATCATTTCAGTAAAATTTTCATGTTACTATCTCCTTTTTTTTTATGAGACACGTCACTATCTCTTTTGATCGTGACCATTAAAAAATGTATCTCGATATGAGAGTGATGGGTAGGGTAATCTCACACTTTTTCAATATAATTATATATTATATTTTTAAAATTTTAAAATTTTTTATTTTTTAATCAATTTAAAAAATATAATAATTAATTAAAAGTTTTAAAAAAACTAACATTAATAATGAAAAATATAACAATAATATCATTTAAAAATAATATAAATTATTTAATTATAATCTCTCTAAATCATTTTACAATTATTTTAAAATTAATTTTTTTTAATTTGATAAAAAAAAGTCATTCACTTTGTGATTAAAAAATTTATTAAAAATTATTTAATAAATAATATACTCAAAAAAATTAAATTAAATTAATAAATTTAAATAAAAAAATAAACCCTTTCACCAATTAAATCACAATTAAAATTTAATTACAATTTAAATCACATAAGTAAATAATTTACTAATCAAAATTCAATTCCAATTTAAATCGCAGTATTAAATACTTTACTAGTTTACCGTTCTGGGCGATCGTGCCTTAACACCAATCAACCAGTAACTTCTTTTAATACTAGAAAACCCCTTCACTTTTCCATTAATTACACTCATGCCCTATCTTTCATATTCGGTATTAGTTCTGAATCTTCTGATTAACCTACCACTGAACCAGTAAGCAACTCCAGTATCCACCCTGCGTCTGTCGCTCTCTGCATCTTGCAGAGCAAATATGGCTAAACAAGCTTCCTTACTCCTCCTGTTCTTATTCTTCTTCGCCCTCTTCACACTCCAGGAAGCTTCACCAAGCCCAGATTTGAAGCCCCTCTTAGATTTCAAATCCGCCTCTGACAAAGCCAACAAACTCACTTCATGGAACTCCACCACCAACCCCTGTTCTTGGACCGGCGTCTCCTGTATCCAGAACCGAGTTTCCAGACTCGTTCTCGAAAACCTGGGGCTCACTGGGTCCATCCAGCCTCTTACTTCACTCACTCAGCTCAGAGTCCTTAGCCTCAAGAACAACGGCCTCTCCGGTCGAGTTCCTGATCTTTCTAACCTCACTGCGTTGAAGCTTCTCTTTCTTTCTCATAACGAGTTCAGTGGTGAGTTTCCCGTTTCTGTGCAGTCGCTTTTCAGGCTGTACCGTCTTGATCTGTCGTTTAACAACTTTTCCGGCGGGATTCCTGCGACGGTCAACAGTTTGACGCATCTTTTGACGCTTCGGCTGGAGGAAAACCAGTTTACAGGTGCGATTTCGGGTCTGAGTCTCCGGAATCTGCAGGACTTTAATGTCTCTGGTAACAGGCTATCCGGTGAAATACCTGCGTCTCTGTCTGGTTTCCCCCAATCCGCATTCGGGCAAAATGTAGCTCTTTGTGGGTCTCCGATGCAGAAGTGCAAGAGCATTGCAACTGACCCGACAAAACCCGGATCCAACGGAGCATTGGCATCACCGTTAATACCCGGCGGCCACCCGAGTACGGTAGCTTCATCGCCAAGCTTTTTGCCCTCAAATCCAAACCGGAGAAACCCAACAAAGCCTCAACACAGAGACAGTTCCTCTTCCAAGATCAGTCCATTGGCTCTAATAGCCATTATACTAGGCGACGTTTTGGTCCTCGCCATGATCTCTCTCCTCCTCTACTGCTACTTCTGGCGAAACTATGCCGCCAAAATACGAGAAGGGAAGCGCTCTAAACTACTCGAAGGAGAAAAGATCGTGTACTCATCGAGTCCGTACCTCACCCAGCCTGGATACGAGAGGGGCCGAATGGTATTCTTCGAAGGAGGGAAAAGATTTGAGCTTGAGGACTTGCTGCGAGCCTCAGCCGAAATGCTGGGGAAAGGCGGGTTTGGAACCGCTTACAAGGCGGTGCTAGACGACGGCAATTTGGTGGCCGTGAAGCGCCTGAAGGATGCGAACGTAGGTGGGAAGAGAGAGTTCGAGCAGCACATGGAAATCCTGGGGAGGCTGAGGCATCCCAATTTGGTAACCCTGAAAGCTTACTACTTCGCCAGGGAGGAGAAGCTACTGGTCTCTGATTACATGCCCAATGGAAGCTTGTTTTGGCTTCTTCACGGTACGACACAATTCTTCCACCAAGTTCTCTTCTTTCCTTCCATCTTTTTCTTTCCCAAAGGTTTTTTGCCGTTTGATTGCCGAGCAAATTGACTAGGAAAACATCGCCTGACGAGAAAGGTTCTGTTTGGTTACAATAGCTTTTTTTCAATTTTTTTATTCGGGCTCTTTTTCTCTTGGTTTCTTTGCATGGTTAAACTAACAATGCATCATTTCATCCGCTGAATTACGAAATTTGTGTTTTTTTAAGTTACTTTTTCTTTTTGTTCTTTTCGAAGTGTTGTGTTGGTTACCTTTCAGTGACAACGACCAAAAAGAAAAAAGGTAAAATCCTATCCGTCTGATTGCATCATGAGGCCGGGCCCCAGCCTTACCCAGTTTAACAAACTTAGATCACATCAATCCTGATCTTCATCATGATTTCTTGATGCATTTCTTGTTGATCAACTCTATTGTTCCTGATGTTGACACGAGTGCATTTTCAGTTTCCGTTACTGTACGGGATAATGACAGTGGCAGGATTGTAATTTTTGTTGAATAGTGAGACCTAATGGTTTACTTTTCCCTATAGGTAATCGGGGACCAGGGAGAACCCCGCTGGACTGGACCACAAGGCTAAAAATAGCGTCAGGAGCGGCCCACGGCGTAGCCTTTCTTCACAATACCTGCAAAACACTGAAGCTCACCCATGGCAACATCAAGTCCACCAATGTCCTCCTTGACAAAACCGGGAACGCACGCGTCTCCGACTTCGGCCTCTCCGTCTTCGCATCCCCCACAACCAACTCCCCGCGCTCCAACGGCTACCTTGCGCCGGAGTTGTTATCATCAGACGGTCGGAGATCCACCCAGAAATCTGATGTCTACTCCTTCGGTGTACTCCTCCTGGAGCTGCTTACTGGGAAGTGCCCTTCAATTGTTGATGGCGGTGTTGGGCCCGAATGTGGATACGGCGGCGCCGTGGATTTGCCCAGGTGGGTCCAGTCTGTGGTGAGGGAGGAGTGGACGGCTGAGGTTTTTGATTTGGAGCTGATGAGGTATAAGGATATCGAAGAGGAGATGGTGGGGCTGCTGCAGATTGCCATGGCATGCAGCGCGGCGGCGCCTGATCAACGGCCAAAGATGAGCCATGTTGTGAAGATGATCGAAGATCTTCGTGGGGTCGAGGTGTCGCCATGTCACGACGGTTTTGATTCCGTCTCCGACTCACCCTGCTTATCAGAGGACACCTGTGGGGCAGCAAGTCAGTAATTTTTTTAACCTAGGGAAATCTTGGACAGACGATGTAAATTTTTTTCAAATTCAACTTGCTTTGGATTCTAATTTCTACTAGTGTTTAGCATCAATTTCAAGAATTTTTTTAATGCAAATTTAAGAAACGAGAATGAATGACCCAAGTGAAAGAGACAAAAAAACAGGTTTTAAATGGGTAGGTTTTTAGTTTTTCTTCTTGTGCCTTAGCTAAGTGTAAGGCCGTTGTGCATTTAAAAAAGGGTTAAAGCCAACCATCGTCCCTCTACTTTTAATTTTTATTCATGTCCGTCCCTCTACTAAGGATTTGTTTCTTGTCATCCTTATACTTTACCAAAAACACTAAATGTCGTCCCTGTACACCAATTATTTTGTTCGTTGTCATCCTTTTGCTGACGGAGTTGCCTTTAGCCGTCTATTTGGACCGTTTAATCCACAAACGGTCAATTGTTGAAGCATTTTTTGGATTTTTTTTTCATATGTTTTGTCAACTAGGAGGGGAGAAGCACCCTTTCGTCAATGTCCTGCTCCACTTTTTTTTTTTCAAATTCAATCATTTATGTTGTTAATTTATAATCTTACCTCTTATATTTATTTGTTTTTATAGTATTTCAGATTTAGTTTAACTATTATGAACTAACAATTTGTAGTTAGAGAGGTGAACTATATTTAATACTACTATATATAATGTGTGTGTTAGTGTACATATTGAGTTGATAAATTGTGATGTTTTAAATTTTATATTGAGTGAAAATGTAAATGTAAAAATTCATTATTTGATAAGCTAATGTTAAATTTTAGGTGTTCAGAAACTTAGTTTAGAAAGTTATTAAAATTATTTTAATAAGTTTTTTTAAGAGGGTTTTAAAGCATATGTTAAGGCTTTAAGGGTATATTTATTGTATCATTTCACAATTTATATAAACAAAATTATGAAAGTAAATTTTATTTTTAACATCAATCCCACA